TCCACACCGATTGCTCCCGAGGTCTGGTTACAATATGGCACCACAAGATTGATAAGTCACCTTCCACTCTGGCAAGGGGCAAAGCTTCAGTCATATTACCATCAGGTGATGGTTCCTCCTGCATCTGTCTAACTGTTCAGTACCAGTCCTCAAGCCTCAGTTTCTTTAAATGACCTCTCTTGGAAAAATAATCATGATACATTTCTTCCTCTGAAGGATATTAGTAATCTAACGACTGTTCCGGAACGTTGGAGCGCTCATACATCTCATAGGTGGAGAGTCACGGAAGATACAGCCAAGGATACTGATTTTGTCAGAATTCTTTTTCCTCCCTCAGCAGCTACGATGCCTTCACCATATCCCTCTAATTCTTATGTACCTCCAACTTTTTTTTCACCAAACAAGCAAAGTACCAATATGTGTCCCAGTGGAACACAATGACTGGAGGTAGGGAAGCAGACACTTAATAAACTGCAACACCCTCTGCTGATGGATCAGGTGGGCGGGAGGAGCACTCAAGACCATAGTAACTCACCTCCAGTAAACTACTATATTTAGTTCTCTTGCTTAACCTAAATGTCTTGTGTGTTGCAAAACCTTCAAGGGGCTGCCATTTGAACTATCTTTTCTGAAAATCAGTCAAAGGATTTGATTCATGACTTGCCTAATGAAGAGCTGCTTTCTTCTTGCTCTAGGGAGATATCAAAAGTTCCACTTGTACAAATTTTATCTGTTTCCAATATAATCTACTGAGAATAAAGTTCTGAACTTCAAAATAAAAAGGCTTTCTGCTTAAAAAATGATTAATTATTAGGAACAAGGGAGATTGGTTGTTCACTTTTATACCAATCTGGTCAGCTGAACTTTTCCACTATTATCATTCATTAGATTTCCTGTGCATTTTCTTTTGGGTTTATTAAAGATAGTTTTGTTAGTAGATCTCTAGGTTTTAAAGTTACGTAGATTAGTAAGCAACAATTAGTAACCGTAGGGGATTTGTAGACTACTGAGAAGAAACAGCTGTGTAAGTAATTTAATGTATGACTACCCTGAGATTGAAATCTTTCAGTGCCATGCCTAGTAAACTAGAATTAAGGAATGACGAATGTGTAGACCATGGTACCACTACTAATTTCTTGCCTTAGCACTTGCTTCTACTCATTCCATTTCCCTTGTCAGATTTTTCCCTTGCTTAATGGGCTCTTTATTATTTATTTCACTGTCATTTTCCAAGTGAAGGATCTAATACATTATTCAAGTTTTTCTCGTTACCATTTTGAAACAGTAATTCATTTCTCCTACTTTATTCTAAAAATTAGCTATAATAAATGCAGTGATTTTTTTTCCAGTGGTGGAAGAGACGTTAAAACAATTTTCAGATGCAAATATTTTTTTCTTAAATAATACTATAATCACCTATTGTCCAATAGCCAAAGGCAAATGCTGAGGGCTCTATTGTAGAAATTTATTTGCTTGTTGCAGGTATTTGAAACTTACGTTCAACATTAATTGAAGTCAAAATACAAATGATGACGCATAATGACAAGCTTGTCATTTTTAATATTTGAATATGTGACAAAAATGTGTATATAATTAAATGTATAATGTCAATATTTTTTCAATTCTGTTAAATCAACTTTTTCCATGCTTATGGATTCAAGAAGTTGAGACATTAGGCTTATGAGATCCATGACAACTTATTTGTATTATTATGTTTTGTGATGTTTAGAATAGTGACTTGTTGAATTTTTTTAACATGATAAAGCATGATAGATTAATTATGCTGGCATTTTAATATGGGATGTTACTTTTATTACAATTCAAATTTTAGTTCCTTCCATTGTTTTATGGTACTGGATAGATTAAAAAAGGGCTTATACATACTGGCCTATGGTTTTATGGCATGAATATCGATTATCAACTTCAGAACTATTATAATATTTGAATGATACTATGATAATTCAATTTACTTAAAATTATATTTTTTGATGAAAAGACACATCTAAAATAGTCAAATAAAGGTTAATAACAACATAAAAAATTCATTTGAAATTTTTCATTATATTATGTTGGTTGCGATGATACAGAAATAATGCTTGCTACCACCTGGGAACTTTTCAGTGTCTTTAAGGAGTATGTATCTCACTTTATTAATTTTGGAATTTGTCTCTGGTATAGTGTTAGTTTCTTTGGCAGAAATCGAAAGGAGGCAGAGAATGTACCTTTGTTGGAGATCTGCTTGGATTTCCTGTGTTTTCTCTTCTGTGAGCTTTGGTGCGGGTTTCTTTTGTTGTGCATTTATGGTCTCAGGATTGAGTCTCCTCTTTAAACCCGAAAACAGTTCTGTTGAAAACAGGCGTTCTGTTCAAGCAAATGTCAGATCTGATCATCTCTGCAGGTGTCCTTAGTAACTCTGAGACTGCTGCTGCTGCTGAGTGGCCACAAGTGGGCAGAGCTGTTAAAAAGGCCTTTGGTTTTATGCTATTCACTTCTCCTGACATGCCGTTCATGGAAGAGGTTGTAAATTAACACACATTAACTTAAGATCTTGAACTCAAGGAAGAACTACACGGAATCGTGAGGGATTCATGCTGTTGGTATGACCCTGAGATTTCCTTCTGTTGAAATCACCTTGCAGATTGTCCCTCTAACAATGAATTTTGTGCCATGGGAGAGGGTTGAAAGGGAGGGGAGAAGCAGGGAGGGGAGCAAAGAAAAGTATAGAGCTCAATAAAACCAATTAAAGAAAAAAAATGTGGTCTATAAAGATGTCTCAGCAAACTTTTAAAAGCACTTGATGTTCATGCATAGAGTTCTAATCAGGTCCTTGCATCCACATGCTAACTCACATCTATATGTAACTGAAATTCCAAGGAATTGATCCCTCTCTTCTGACCTCAGAGAGTTTCAGACATGCAGTAGTGCACATGCATAAATGCACGTAAAACACTCATTCACATAAAGTATTTAAATCTTAAAACAAAGGAACTTTGATCCAATAACAGTATTGAGAACAAATCAGTGTGCATTAATAAACCAATATGGGTTTTTTGTTGCTATTATTGTTTTGTTTTGTTTCAATTTTGGTAAGGGATAGATAAAGACAAGTTTTAGAGAGAGAACTGAGGCACAGCAGAAATAAGAGCCAATGGAGAATGCTTTTTAAAATATACCCATCCATGTGTAAGTGACCTTGCAGAGAGAGAGGTCAGTCAAATAATCTCTGAGAAGTCAGAAACCAGGTTTTAAATAAATAACTATAATAATAGTAATAATAATAATAGAAAAAACAATAGATACTCTATTCATACAGAACTAAAGAATTACTACTTTTATAATAACAGTTATGGTATAAATTATCTCTAGAATAAAAGACAAAACATTTTTGTTTTTCCAAGGACATGGAATGTTGTTGTTGTTATTATTATTATTATTATTATTATTTATTATTATTATAGAGATGGGATTTCTCTGTGAAAT